GCTTAACCAACTGAGCCACCCAGGCGCCCTAGAAATTATTTTTAAGAAGTGTTTTAATACATAATATGTGTTTTACTGTACTCCAGGAGGGCAAGAATTTTGACTCTTTTATTCACCATTGAACACTCAGCACCTTACACAATGCTCGGGTATATAGTAGGGACTCAGTAGCGCTTGTTGAATGAATAAGTGATTTAAAAACTTACCCCTTTTTTAATTTAAGAAAATTGAGGTTTCTTCACACACACAGTTTTCTTCCTAAAGATATGAAGATACCCCATGATCACCCTTGGAATCATTGCTTTGTAAAATATTTCTCAAAGATTGTCTGATAAAGACTACTTGACCTTTGGCCAAAAAATCAGACTCCCAGATTCTGCCCCTAAATGTCTGGGTTAGTAAGTCTCACATGACTCTGGGTTTATAACAGGCATCCCATCTAGGATCATTTCCAACTCTAGGTCTTTGAAATCTTTGTTTTACTTGTTTTCAAAAGGACATTTGCTTGACTTCCTACTAGGCTGTCCATCTTTCTACGAAGTCACTGTTAACAAGCTAGTTATGGAGAGAGTATTAGACTGAAAGGAAGCCATGTTCCACCGCACAACTGGTTTCATCATTTTCCCTGTCTGGACACAAATTTCCACACCTTTAAAATGACAAGGCTGAACTACAAGATCTCTCCGACCTCTTGCAGTTCTGTTATCAGGTAATTCTTACCTTTGACAACTGATAGATAATCTAGCCAGATTAAAAAGTGCTACATGAGACATTTTCAACAACAACAACAACAAAGTACTTTGTTGCTTTGTTTACAAGAAATTCTCTATGGATTGATTACTACTTAAGAGATATTTTTTAGATATTTTAGGTTATTTAAGCACTATTATTTGCAAACAACTTCACCAATTTTATTTGGGATTCCCTGGATACATGTGTTGGGAGCCAACTGATAACTTTTCACTCGAGGTTAAAAATTATTTATCTCAGGGCGCCTGGGTGGCTTAGTTGGTTAAGCATCTGCCTTCGGCTCAGGTTATGATCCCGGGGTCTAGGGATCAAGTCCCGCATCGGGCTCCCTGCTCAGCGGGGAGTCTGCTTCTCCATCTGCCCTTCCTCCCACTCCTGCTCGCTCGCTCTCTCTCTTTCTAATAAATAATTAAAATCTTTAAAAATATTTTTTATCTCTTGCCAGTTGTGTTTTAGATCTTGTCAAAGAGACTTCTACAGATAAGAAAAAAGTCCTTTCCTTTTGAGTATAATTTGAAGAAGTTAGAAGAGCCCTGCCTGCCCATGTGTCCTGTTACTGAATTGCAAGCAGAATCAGAAGTCATCTTCTGGCTAACTATGCCAAATAGTTCCCAGAGAAGGGAAGAGAAAGGACCCTGGTGAAAACATTTACAGAGGTTTGTTCATCAGATTAAGTATCTGTATTCAATTAGGGCTTAAGGAAGTATAAACCAAGTTAGATTAATTTTTTTTCCCCAGAAGCAGAGAGAAGAAGATTGGAAAAATGTTTGAGCTGGGGAGGAACCTAAGAAGGTCAAGACTTGAGGAGCAGTGGTTGTTGCCAATAATGGGGGAAAGATGTCCATGTCTTGTTAGTAAAAGAGCAATGGCAGCATTCACTTACTTCAGAATTCTGTCCCGGGCTGTTCATAAAGTCAGAAGGGAAAGTTCTGTGCAAGATGTGATAGGAGAGAGAAGGAAGGGTTGTATGGTTGCAGTTTCTGCTAGGCGGGCTGCTTGGTGGAGTAGTATTGAGAATGTAATCATAGAGGTAGCTTGATTTTCTTGCATCCTTAATTGCTTAATGCCCCACTTCTTCTGTTAAGGTGGATCCCATATAAAGAATAATTATTTATTTAGTCTAATCCACACTGGCACTGATGTCTCATAGTAGATTTAATATTAATTGACTCAATTATTTCTCATGATTGCAGGTATAAAGGGCAATGAACAGGCTGAAAAATGCTTCTGGTAGCTTGTGATACTGGCAGTGCAAGAATGGGCAGAAAACATGGGAAATACGTAGTGAATATCGAACACTCCGAAAGCCAGCTGGTGAGTATTGTGGCATCACTGTGATATTTCTGATGGCTCAGAGTCTTATTTTCAATATTTATACAACCCTAATATTTCTTTATTCCAACACGGTTCTTCCCAAAAAGGAATTCTTTAAAGTTTTACATGGAAGCCAATTTTTAGCTATTCTATTACTACTTAGAAAATTAGAAAACTTGTATTTTTTTCTGCATATCAATATATACATAATTGAGAAATTTAGCTTAGTATTCATTAATCTAAAATATTAGCAATTTGGGGTAACAATTTAATATTCTGTTCAATTAATTCTCTACAGTTATCATAATTCAAGCACAAGCCAATAAATCTGCATTTGATTGCATTTAACAAGTTATGTTTTTTAAAATGTAGTATATAGATTTTGTGTTAACTGCCTCGATTTTTTAGTGTAATGTGTAGATTTGCCATAGTTCAAAGATTTCTACATATCTTTGAATGTCAGAAGGTAATCCTGTGAGTGAAGTCTAGGCCTGGGCAGCAAACTAGCAAATCCTTCAGATTGGCCTCTTTAATTTCTTATGAATTTCTGTTTTTGGTAAAGAATTGTATTCAGATGAAATATTTAGAATTCAGTTATATGCAATATTATTTGACTATTGTTTATGTTTTTAGAAGAAACAATTCAGGGCTGTGCATTTTATGTAACTGTGCATGCCTGATTAGAGACCTTGATATTGGGAACAACAATGGAAATGTGCTGAGTGAGATCAGTACAAATTTGAATGGAAAATTACATTTTGTGAGGAAAAATATTTTTGTCCCTATGCCCTAACAAGGAAATTATAAGGCGGAGAAATTGTTCTCTTGATTCTAGATCAGCACTCCCTTCCCCTGAAGATGTTCTTCATGGACCTTCTAGCCTTGCAACTCTTTCACTGTGTCTTCATAGTGTCAAGATACTCAGATAAAAAGGTCCTATGTTTTTATCTGGAAGCTTGATTATTTCACTTGCACATTTAGATTTATGATCCATTTAAAATTCATTTTTATATATGGCGGGAAGTAGGGTTAAACATTGTTTTTCGATATGGAGATTTTTTTTCTGTACAGATAATTGTAAAGGTCATCCTGTCTCTACTGACTTGATGCTTTTTTGTAAATCAAGAGACTGTATATGTGTAGGTCTGTCTTAGGACTCTAATCTATTCCATTGTTCTTTTTTTTTTTTTAAAGATTTTATTTATTTATTTGACAGAGAGAGAGAGACAGCGAGAGAGGGAACACAAGCAGGGGGAATGGGAGAGGGAGAAGCAGGTTTCCCTCTAAGCAGGGAGCCCTATGTGGGGCTCGATCCCAGGATCCTGGGATCATGACCTGAGCCGAAGGCAGACGCTTAACGACTGAGCCACTCAGGCGCCCCTCCATTGTTCTTATTTATCTGCTCTTGTACCACTACTACACTGTCTTGATTACTCTATCTTTATAGTAAATCTTGAAATTTGGTCATACTTAAACATTGTTCTTCAAGTTATCTTGGCTATTCAAGATCCTTTTCATTTCTATACAAATTTTTAGAATCAGCTTGTTGATTTCTGTTAAAATACATCTGCAGTTTTGACTGGGAGATCATTGAATCTGCATATTAATTTGTGAACATTTATATCTTAATACCTAAATTCTTCAAATCCATGAACATGGCTTATTTTTTCTTTTATATTGGTCTTCTTTAACTTTTATTAGCAATGATTTGATGTTTTAATGTAGAGATTGAGCAGATTGAGTACTTTTCTTTTCAGATTTATTCCTAGATGCTTTTTGTGTTGTTTTAAATGGCATATTAAGTTCAATTTCAAATGTTTTCTTGCTATTTTATAGAAATCCAATTGATTTTTGTATTCTTATCTTGTATCCAGTGACCTCATTAATTCATTATAATATTTTCTTTGTAGATTCTTTCGGATTTTCTGTAAACTCAGTCATATCATTATTCTTTTTTTCAAATTTTAAAACATTTTGTTTTCTTAACCTAATGCACTGGCTAAGACCTCCAATGTAATATTGAATGGAAGTGATAAAAGTGAACATCTTGCATTTTTCCTCAAATTCAGGGGGAAAGTGTGAAATATTTCACCATTAATTATGACATTAGCTTTCAGTTTCATGGAGCTATTCTTTATCAGATTATGGAAAATCCTTCCATTACTAGTTTGCTGAGAAATTTTATCATAAATGTTTGTGAAATTTTTAGATTTTTATATATTTTTGGATCTAATTTACTACTATTTTGTTTAGAGAATATTTGTACCTATGTTTTTGAGAGACTGACCTTCAAAGGAGTCATGGTCAACTCTTTAGCTTCCTATGCCAGGAAGCCTCAAAATCTGACAAATGTCCTAAGTGGAGAACCAGTCTTGTGTCTGTGGAAGTCTCCTTCTAGAATGATTTTATCTTCTGTTCACTTTGATACTGCTATAGACTTTACTCTGCCTTTCTGTCCCAGGCCCCTAGCCTCTGGAGCTATCTCAGAACATTAAAAAGGCCTTGCATTGGGGCTCCTTTATTTTCAAATATGTCATGTCAGCCTCACATGAATACCAAAAGTTTTGTTGGCCTCTTTTGGTAATTAGAACCTCAGGCTCATACTCAGAATCCACAAATGCCCCCAGACAAGAAGATGGCCTATGGTGTTAGATCACTTTGGAAAAGTTCCTTCCTCTTTTAAATTTTAGATAATCTAATTTCCATTTTTTTCAAAGCTCTTCCTTTTTGTTTGTTTGTTTATTGCAGTGGGAGAAGTGGCTTTTTGCAATTTACTAAATCCAGAATCTCACTTCACCCCTTTAGATCTTGGTTTTCTCAAAAGAGTTGTTCTTGATAAGCCTTAAGGTCTCTAGAATTTTCATAGTGGGACTTCTAAAAATATTATCTCCCTACACCAACTTGGAATGTAATGATATTTAACAAATGTATTAAATATGACAAGGATGAAAGATAATGTCTGTTCCTGGATTTTAGCATCAATAATTTTATAAAATAATTAAATATAACTTAGGATGACATAACTAGATTTCCATGTTTTAAGAATAAATATAATGAGTGTATTATTTTGTTCTTTAATCAGGTTTCCAATGATCTTATTTGGTCAAGTATGTCATAATATTTAACAGTCTGATTTATATTTGTCAGAATATATCACTTTAGGCATCAAATATAATAACTTCTTTTTTTCCCTCCATTCTTTTCTATGCACAGTCATTGAACCAAAGAAACCATGAAGTTCACAGTTCATCATGTCAGTTTCCAACATCAACTGATGTAACTGGTGATGTTGGTACTGATCTAACTGGGGTCTGTACCAACACGGGGACCCTTGGACACTCAGAATTTCCAAACAGAGAATTCCAACATTGTCAGGTAATGTTTGGGGCAACACTGTTTCTCCAGGTTATGATGTAATCTACATGGAAATGCTCTTGATCTAATATTTTGGAGGGAAAGCATCCAATCAGTTAACATTACCATTATTCTTTTGAAAATCTATAACATCCTTTGAACATGTCAAGTCACTGAGAAGGAATGCAGAAGAGATTGATTTATGGGGGTCTTCATTTATTATCTTTGGGCTCTCTTATTTGGTGCCCTGAATTCCCTCAGCCTTGGTACCCAGTGCCTTTGCACTGCTCCTGATTTCCTGTGAGCATCGCTCACAACACCTAAACTGGGGTTTATTGTCTGAAACAGAGTCCCATTTTTTTTTTTTAAGATTTTATTTATTTATTTGACACAGAGAGACAGCGAGAGAGGGAACACAAGCAGGGGGGAGTGGGAGAGGGAGAAGCAGGCTTCCAGCCGAGCAGGGAGCCTGATGTGGGGCTCGATCCCAGGACTCTGGGATCATGACCTGAGCCGAAGGCAGATGCCTAACCGACTGAGCCACCCAGGTGCCCCTGAATGAAGTCTTTCAAATATGGTATCTGTTTGGTTATCATTGTGATCACTCAGAACAACATGAGGAACTATAATAATGACCTGACCTAAAAAAAATGATTAAGATGAGAGAGCTGGAGCTGTCATATTTGTTGTCATCACACTGAAAAACTGACGCAGAAATATAAAAGTGTTTTGATTAGTATCAGATCACAGTGACATTTCAGTCATGGAAGTATTTGAAGTAGGTAACTTGATCATTAAATTAATTTTTTTGTAATCTTTAAGACTCCAATGTGGTTCATTTTATAATAGATGACATATTAACAGGCTCTGCATTCTTTTGGCTAAAAAAATTTACCAGTTGTTAAAGGACTGTCAACCACTCTCAATTAATATAGATAAACTTCCAAATCCTTTTAGCTTCATATTCTGCAGATATCAAAGAGCTTTAGTAGGAGATGCTCAGCATACCGATGAGAGTTACCTGTGTTTCTTTGCACATTGAAATCATCCAGGTGCACTCTGCTCTAGCAATCGATCTATGATGTAATAAAAGGATAAAATGTGTTCTTCAGAAACAGAGAAAGTTTGAATTTTATACTGAAAATTTAGGACACAGTAATTTAGTTGTTATTCTTACTTTGGCTCTTGTAAGAGTTCATTAATGATAGGGTAGAACTTTGATACTGTTTTGTCAGAGACTTCATGACATACAATGTGGAACTTTATCTACTCAGTGGTTATGGAACTCCAGCGTGCAGTCTAAATATTAAATATGTGTATCTTCATACCACAATGTGATACTAGCTTTTTTAAAAGCTCAAATAAAATACGTGTTTTATTCAACTGAAATATGTCTTCAATAGAGATATTGATTTTTAAATTCATTGGCTTATCCAGTGGTCATGAGTAGTACCAGTGAATCTTCCTTTTTTTTAAAAAAAAAAAAAGATTTTATTTATTTGAGAGAGAGAGAGAGCAGGGGGAGGAGCAGAGGGAGAGGGACAAGTGGACTCCATGCTGAGCGTGCAGCCCAACACAGGGCTTGATCTCACGACCCTGAGATCATTACCTGAGCAGAAACCAAGAGTCAGATGCTTAACTGATGGAGCCACCCAGGTGCCCCAGTACTTGTAAATTTTCTAATTCACATGGGTTCCTTATAGCTAAGTGACCACATGTCCTAGTTTGCATGGGATAGTATTGTCTCTGTTAAATTATTAATACTGTTTCCTTTTGCTCTCAAAAGTATTTTGGTTTGGAGTGATAAATTATATGATCATTCTACTTATGTGGTCCCAGAAGCCACTGTTTCATTGGCTTAGTTTCAGCATGGAAGGGTAAAGCACTTTCTCCTACTCCTCCTTAGAACAAAACCTTCCCCTAGATTTTTCACACCTTTTATGTTCTGTAGACCCCAGAGCTGTTTTACTTTGCTTCTGTGGATTCCAATGGAGACTTTTAGCTAAAGAATGCATTTATAAGAGAACTTTAGAAATGATTTTTTTTTAAAGATTTTATTTATTTATTTATTTGAGAGAGAGAGAGAGAGAAACAGCATGAGAGGGGATAGGGTCAGAGGGAGAAGCAGGCT